TTGGTAAACGCGGTGAAATCAACCAAACGAACGAGCGACAGGTTGATTTCGGCCAGTTGTCAAGGCGTGTTAGGTACGAACTATGTATAATGATGTGAATGAGTAGTCTTTGCAGTAACAGGTGTGTACGTAGAACACATGTTAAATCTATCATGTCCTCCTCACACTTGCGAGGCCACGGACTCTCCTCTCGGGTTCATTCAATCGTAAACGCTCAGGCTGTTGCTAACTGGTTACGCTGCTATGCTAAGCACGTCCGCAGCCTTTGATAGAAATGTATTCATCCCAACCTAAATTGCTCTAACTGGAAACTCAATGGCGTCACTTTGGACGAGAAAGGATCTCGAGTATCCCCAGTCCCCCATAGCAACTGTTAGATTCGTTTGCGCTTTGAATTTATATGGTTTCTGATTCCATGACCCATCATCAAAGGGTTGCCCCAGCTCGCCAGGATTTCTGTTTCGAGGCTTGTTCGATTAGAATTCAAGGCAATGTTCTCTCTAACGTCACCTATAAGATAAATACTTTTCCATAATCCTCGGCGCGTTTTAAACCCATAGGCAAGTAGCAATCCTAAATCCACTCTTGTGCCGGAATTGCAGTTTCGAACCCTCGCCAGCCCCCTTTGGTGCCTCTAAAACTTTGCGTAACGGGGCATTCACACGTCTTGCATACGCCTGCAAACTATTTCTGCATATACCTAAGGGTCCACCGATTATGGCATTTTTCTAGGCTACAATAAGCCGCATTCTATCTAATGAGACAATTTTTTCCCAGTCCTCCAATAAATGATACGATGTGCTAATAGCAGAATACGTGTGGCACCCGGTAGCTGCTTATTATGCCTCCAATAATGAGCTATTTTCATATTGTGAATTTACCGATAGTCGGCCTGAATACGTCTAAATTTATTAGCCTAGGGCTTTTCAGGTCTGGCTTTCAGTCGTATATGAATTGGACGGCCTTGCCTTCAGTCTAGTCCACCGCTTTTATATACGTGCTTTTTAGGCACCGGCGTATTACTGTATTTTACGATGGAACAAAAAATCGTCTTTTATCAGCATATTTGCTGAATTAATTATACGACGGTTGCCTCGTGTCTTCCTCTCGTCAGTATCACGCGACTGCACGTGCGCTTTCTGCTGTCCTCATGCACGTGCGTTGCAATGATTAGGATAGATTCTTTTCTGATTGTCGCTGAAAGCTTTCACTCTAAACGAAAAGTGAAGATAATGGAAGGTACTAGTTACTGCAAAATTTGATGAGATGGGCAACGTTCGAAAGGCTCCATTTCGCTCTGGGTACTAGGAACGGCTCGGCTTATTAAGAGAAGAATATGTAAAAAAAAAATTCTAACTCGAAAATATTCTGTAGCAAGTATTGTTGGATTCAATACCCCCTATTTTTCATGGAGACATGACGGTCTCTTGAAGCTCGGCCTGTAACAGCATAGCTCTATTTTACGGGGGTACCGATTTGCCTTATCAGTTCAATAGATTATATTACAACACTGCAACGATAGCTGGTTTTTAGCTTCCCTTACCTACAGATTAAAAATGTATAAGTACCTCAGCTCTTAGGGCTATTATATAGTTATTATCGTAATCGCTGTTGTAATTTTATACCTTACATGGAACAATCTTGGCCGAACGAAAGTTCGGCCAGAAACGACGAATGTATGACTGAGGCCAAAACCCACAATGACGTCAGCCACATAAAGGACCACAGGCAGGAACCCACTAGTATAACTCATCATCGCCTCCGGGAGACACAGATGAAGCCTTACAGGCGAGGAGGGTGTACACGAAGAAAGAAGCACTTGTCGGCTGCTAGAGGTGGCAGGTTCTGCATCCACAATACGCAGAAATGATGGCCGGTCGCGGCCTCTGGGGATAGGTTAAAAGTTCATTTTAGGGCAGGTCGTACGTCTTGCAGTTGCTTCTGCAACCGGAATACCAAACTTCTATGTATTCTTGCCTACGGCGCCGAGTCAAATGTCCCTTCGAGCTACGGGAGGTTGAGGAGAAATATGGCTGAGTCGTAACGCATTATGAAAGCAAAAGAGTCTGCACTGCGCTAAGGTACAACGGGCGACAAGGCTATGGAGCCATCGGTCGTTTTACAACAAAAAGCTCATAGATAAGAGTGGTACTTCGGTCCAAAAGGGTATCCCCTCCTAGGAGAGCGCCCCCAGGGCCCTACGCTCGGAAAAAAGTGGGCGCACACGAACGTAGAGTCAAGCAGAGAGGTTGCCGTTCGTGCTGCCAATTTCAGCGCCGACGTTCATACTACAGAGAGGCAAACCAGCTTATTTTAGACGGAGTGGGAAACAGGACACAAAAGAGCAATGCGAATTAAACCACAACAGCAGCTAAACTTGCTTCGGAACTCTGGCAAATCGTTATACTTTACCATTGTATTCATATAGTAACCAGACCTTACGCTACAACTGAAAAAAAAAGCAGCACCTATGGTGGCAGTGCTGATAGGCAATTGGCCGTAGTTACCAATTTGGTCAAGACGAGCTGACCGAAGGCTGAGCGACTCAGCATAGCTAGGACAGGTTTTAGGTTCTAAGGCCAAGGTAGTAGCATAATGCGAACAACAAAACCACATTGAAGGCCATTGACCTAAATTGAGTTGGGCAAAAAATCTAGAAGGCGGCAACGGCGATAGCAGCAGCCGCAAATAATGTCTTTTGTGTTCCGCTAAAGAATTTGCGATACTTTTTTTTTCATGCTTCACATTCGGTACTTAAGTCGTTAAGCATTGCTTACCTGTCAGGAGCCACTTGCGCTTGTTACCCCATGCGACACTGCAGGCCGCCTGCACCAGCTCCCGGCTTGGCCGGCACAGACGACATTGACGACAAAGCTAACGCTTTCACGTCAGCAGCTCAACAAAGCTGGTGCGTGACACTCATGGCAAGTGGGTAGCTGTGACGATAGCAAGTGCATAGATAACAACGTGGTGCGGCATGGTGCAGCAACGGCAGCAGCGTTGTGCGGCCGAATAGTAATATATACTTAGGAAGCCTCAAAGTATTGACACTTAAGTACACACTGAGTCATTATTCATATAATTTAGATGGTTTATATTATACACAAAAATGTGAAGTTAAACGATAGAAGAAGATCTCAAAAACTGGAGACACTATGTGGTACCTTTGTGGTGCGGTTTGTATTTCATTACAAGTACCAATGTACGTTGCAACGGTGACAATGTTATTTGCTTAGACGGCCAAAAAGTTGCGAGTCGAGTAATTTCCGGGACAAGATGTTAGGTGACCACAGCCGCTTGGTCCGTGTCCTTACAATGACATCAGCATCTACCTTAAAACTCCTACATGCGGCTATCCATAATAGGGCACGCAGGTGGCTTACATTGTCAGTCTGCTAGAACGAATTATACATTGACGCCTTCCCCAGTATAAATATTCTACGGCTTGGTGTGTCAACGTGTTGCTGCATCGCAGCTGCCCAAAATTTTAATCTGTCAGTAGCCCATGCTAAGCTAATCCTAAGTGAGTCTCCCAAGCCGTCGTGTCTAGTGTAAGGCTAGTTGTTCTTCTCCACGTTGAAGAAACCCCCTACCTATCAAGTGAACATCTCTGCACAGTACAGGAGCCTACTGCTGCCAGACGCATAGGGGGTCGTGTCCCGTTAGCTTTCGTTGGCGGGCGTCACCATGGCAGCTATGGTCGGCGGCCGCATTCTAAGAAGTAGCAACAGCCACCAGGGGATAATGATATAGTTTTCAGTGACGCGCTTGGCAGAATCGAACGCCATGATTAGGCAGAGAAAATAGAAAGAAGAAGCACCATTGCTACAGCTGTTACAACAACATCGAAGTTAGCTTGTTTTTTACCCTGGCTTCTTGCCTAAACGAATGAAGCCCGAATTCACGTACGTAAAGGAGTCTATAGCGCACAATATTGTATTAGGGTATTCCGTAAAAGTGCTCTTGATGCTGGCCTACCATGAGGTTGTGAGCCTAAAAGCTTATATGAAGCCTTTTTAGGCGAGACTTCTCGTCGTGAAGGTTCTTTCCTACGAGTAGAACCATATGCGTAGCTACGAAGTCAAACAAATCCTATCTAGAAGATTCCTTGTAAGAGTTGGTAAACTATACGCTATACATACTGACGCTATCTGTAGAAAGTCCGAAATAAAAACAGCTCCGTTGTCCGATGCAGCAATAAAAGGAAAATACTATTTTCAGGGGACAGGGGAACAAAATGGTAGTGTCTGTAATGATGGAACCTGCATTCGTTAATGGAGAGTGTAAAAACCACTAATGTGCCAGAAGTTGTCGACCAAACACATCGTCACTGCACATGTAATAGCGCGTAAGAACGGATATCTATCTGCTATATATTAGAGATAATCAAAAACGCTGTGAAAGACCATTGTTGGCCCTAGAAACTATCCGCATACATATATATCCTAGAGGTATTTGTCACTTCTGTAGTATCGTGGTACGATGTTAGAATTTTTATAGCAGAAGCAGTGAAGTTATCTTCTGCAAAAAAACCTCAACACTTTTTTGATGAAACGAGCGACTGACTCTATCTTAACTTGACCTATTGTATAGTACGATGCTATAGGATTTACCTATACTAAAAAATAGCATATAAAAAAGTCTTTTGCATTGTTAGCAGTTCGTTGTGAGGAAGCCATAGCTCAAAGCTATTGTCAACTAGCAGCTTGCGGTAAACGTCTTTCCTTTATTACGTATGCATGATAACGGGATATTTGAGCCGCGAGGTATTTAGGTATATTAAGTCAGAACGGACGTGAATGAAGCCCACTCTACACGTATCTGTCTACCACTGCCAGTGTTATCGAGTTTGCTGAGCTGGCTTCCGGCCATGTCTTCTCCGTTCGGCCAACAGTTATAGTGGCATGAATGTATTGAAAAAAAAACTATTGCGTAGTGACATTAAGAATACTCAACATTGCCTATAATTTCTAACACGATTCTCTCTTTACTTTTTACAGGGGCTTTGGAAAGCAAGGATACCAGTGCCAAGGTAAGTCTGGTAGACGATCGGGCGCTGAGAATAATTACGCTATTATTACATGATGAAAATTCTCCAAATACAGTTACGTAACGTCTAACACGACCCAAGAACGAAGCCTGTGTGTCAAAACAATGTGTTGGCAGACATGATGTAGAATATGCCTTGTTACACGTACGAGGTAATGCTCAGTGTTAGCAATGAATCTATGGCGCGTGCGCATGGCAGAATGAACAATAATTTACAATAGCTTTGATGATGTATATTGTTGAAAGCGATATCAACCCTAAGAATAGAATGTATTATTGCCGATGATAGATGGAGCGATAGTTCTATTTTAGTAGCTTTTAAAGGTGAAGTCAATTGAGTTTTCGGGTAAACCACACTGAAAATGTTACCCCTCACAAGCATCGTTGCAATGTCGGCCTGACCGGCTTAGAAACTTAACGTTTACCCACATCATTATCTACTGACCGTCTCAAGCTATTAAGCCTAACAAAGTGTTAATTATCCGTCAACGCGCCCCGAACTACTTGTCCCACATGCCAGTACCTAAACTTCATCAATCTCCTACAAATGCAGAGAATCACAGCACATATTCATTGACACTCCAATCACCGACTCCTTGCTGTACATCGTGTAAATACGCATCCTGTCATTTAAACAATGATTTCTTTTTCCTTCTTAGTTCACGCACTTTTGCGTGATTTTGAGCAGACGATCTCAGCCAGAACGTCGTCGCGCCACAGCGAATCCGTCAGGACCGCGTTCAACATGGGTCCGGATTATTACTGCCCGTCACGGTGAGCCCACTTAGACTTGCGTTGGTTAAAAGTGTATCGTGTGGGCAAATCTTGCTATTAATAGGCATAACAAAATTATGCCTACTTAGGGGGTACATCACTAGATGAAATTAGTCGGGTCGGAGTGGCTGCGAATTGTTTGATGTTGATGTGATATACAAGCCAGAACCAAGGGAATTAGTTTATGGGAAGGTGCTATCTGCGCTCCATTGACGCGGACATCATGGACGGAGCTCAATCAAAAACACCTCAGATAGCGTAAAATGTGCTCTGATCCACGGCAAGGAAGGAGAAATTCTGTCAGTGATTCCAGGACCTTAAGCGAAGGACACTAATGAATGCCTGGCATATACGATTTCTATACGCAGCAAAATATTAACTGCGTAGAAACATAAAATATGGTCAGGTTGCCCCGGAAGGTCCTGAAGACAAAATGACTAATCTGCTGTTTGATTTTGGCTTGCCTGATTGCTCACCTTCACTAAACCAGTTTTACTTGCAAAACAGCCAGACTTTCTGCCCAAACTCCAAACCATGTCCTCTGGGTTCTGTTCAGGAACAGCAGCGCGGTATGGTAGTGCTCACTACTCTGCATCTGGCAGTAGGTAAGGCTATTGCCGTACTCGTGACCTGTGTCGTCTTAATCTGAAGACGCGATCCCCCGGTTAATTCCTGCCCAGCAAGAATTACGTCACTACCGATTGGTCTAGATGTCATCTGCACCTAAGCTTGTTTTCCCTCGATCTATCTTCCTGTCGCCCGTAATGCGTCTCCCTCACATGCTGCACATGCATGCAGTTAAGGCTGTTTCCATCAGGATTCTAGCACATCGCTCTGCATGGTTTGTCCGCTGACTTTTTTGATCAAATACGTGGCACTCAGTATGGGCTCGAACAGGGCCGCATTCTGTGGCAATCAAACGTATATCAACCAGCTTCCTAGCAAAGGCGACCGTGCTCCCTAGTATAGTGGTTGCTTTATCAGACAACTGACAACAGAGATGGCGTACGAAATTTCATACATCCGTATTTTCGACTCGATTGGCTTGAATCTTATCCTTTTCTAGACCGGCTTCAAACTTCGAAGGTTATTTAGCCTTAGAATCATGTCTATTCCAGGACTGCGTCCTTCTTCTATTACCAATTAACACAGTAAGCTTTAGTCTATCTATTTTAGATCTCTGTCGCGAGGCGAAATGAAATTGTAGATAGGAATTAGGATCTGCCTGCAACGCGGGGTCGGAACTAGTGCAGTTGAACTTGTCGTCGGCTTAACCTCGGTCCCTCGCACCTGTTGCAAAGGCTGTTCGCCAGTGGTTTGAGGAGATTCAAGCCGCAGTAGAGGTTCAAGCAGAAATTTTAATTTAAGCTTTTTCCTTTATTGAAGTTTCTTTTTTTCAATGTTGTGCAAGGAACTAGAGAACGAGGGAGAGCTAGTAGGGTTGCGGCGAACGGCAATGCATAGCTTGTTGCTTCTGGTGCAGGAATTTTCCTGCTGCAGGTGGAAGGAGCAAGGATTACGGTTTCTTGTAGCTGCACAATATCGTTTTCTAATCTTGCTCAGTTAAAAGGCAAGTTGGTTAACTTAGTTGAACTTATTGAAACATAAAAATGGAGAGTATTGTGCGAACGTACTCGTAATGGCACTGGGAAACTTTCGGAACACATTGTTAAGAACATTCAATATCGGTTCACAAAAAGAGATCTTGTTTAAATACTATGGAGTAATGGCGAACGGCCTGTCGCGCTTGAATCCTACGAAGTGTGCGGCGTCACTCTGCCGCTGGCTGGGACTGCATGGACTCCTCACTCCCTAAACCAGCAACTTCAGAGACGCGATTTTTCAAGGTTCGCATGTCCATTAGGAGAAGGGCACACCGCGTTAGCAATCTAAGTGGTGGCTAGTTGTAATACGGCAAATCGATAAAGTCCGCTCACCGATCACCCAATGGCGATTTGCAACTGAAACACTGCTTATGGAGTTTTCTGAAGGTTCTGTGAAAATTGGGCAAAAAAGACCAAGTCTATCTAAGACAGTTCATTGATATTGGCTGCCTTCAGTTGTCTATGTAGTATCGTTATGACGTTCACAACTAACGCACATACGTCGGATGTGGGAGCTAGTAACCAAGACAGCGACAACTGCGTACGAACGAGGTGCCCAAATGCGGCACAATAAAGATGTCTGTATATACATGTACAACCTGGTAACAGGTAGAACTACGAAAGTGACCACGTGAACATTTGCTTTTTCTCTCTCTTTCAAATATAAATACTATGTCTCCTTTCAATTCAACCATTCACTATAGAAGTTGTCTCTCTCTGGCAATGCAGCCGCAGTCAACCCCGGGGCCCCACTCTACCTTCTCCGTGCCACCTTTTTGGCCTCTCGTTGAAGAAAGCCCTGACGCTTAAGGGATGGATGAGAATTCATTGAATGTGCAACAGAAACAGTAACAGTAGCAGCGAGCTGAATATTTTTAGGCAGATTAGGTTTCTTAGCAGCAGCCAGTAACCAGATTCAGTTTGGATGAATATTCGTTCCCTTCCCAGCGCTTATGATCAACTGCCTTAATGCCAAGCTACCTTCTGCCTTCTGCTTTCCGATAGCATCGCATTTACCTACATAATATCTCTATTGGTTTCTGATGGGCCATTGTCGCTACGGGTCCCGAGCAATGACACCACTGCGCCGACTGTCTTTGCTTTTTGTCTGGCTCACGCTGCTTTGTTCCTTTTCGTCTTGCCTGCCCTAGTCAAACGTAAGCTGAGCCTTTCTTTCTCTGAACCTCTGAATGCGTATGGAAGTGTAGGTGTATGACGACGTGCGCGTGCACGTTGGCTGTACAGGATCTTTAAGTATCGTTCTCACTGCCCGCACACCCAGGCTTTGTACAATCTCGATTTTTCTGCTCATTCCTCCCCGCCTTTTCGGAACATACGTGTACTGCAATTACATCTACATAAGGATGTAGAAGGACTCTCAACTATCGTGACAAACCAAAGTTACCTAAGAGTTTGACAGCACCTGTAGTAAGCAAACCAAGAGGGAAAAACCAAGACTCTTGACGACAACTACAACAAGCGATGTACCCACTTATGCGCGTATTTGTGTGCGCAGGCAAACAACCGCAGTGGTAGGGGCCTAATTTGCAGAAAGCGGGCTTTCTGCAGAAGACCCATAGGTGTTTAGGCTACATATAGGTTGGTTTAGGCTAGAATTGCTCGAGCGACCTAAAAGTTATCTAGGAACAGGAGGGCAGATTCCGCCAAATTTATGTTTAATTGTCACGAGCCTCCATGAACTGGATAACAGCTTGTGGAAAAGGTACGAGTTCCGGGGCCACCAAACCTGATTTGGATGGGAGTGGTTCGTTCCCTGTGGGCCGACAGGGGGGGTCTTCACCCTCTCGAAATAGATTCCGACCGAATCGAGGTGTAGGGCCATGGGCTACATATCTAGTACCTTTTTGAAAAGACTGACATTCAGACACTGCATTATTGCTATTTTTGGGCAATTTTTGCAGATATTTTTTCCGCTATCCAAGATATACGTCAAATTTGGACATATACCCAGGTTCATATTAGATTGAAGCTTGAAGAAACACTGACAAGCCACAGAAATACAGCGTGTTAGTACACCGCAAACTGCCTGCATAATGTGCTTCGAGATGTAAAAAAGAAGCATTTTGACATTTTTTACTCTGTCTTTGGTAAACGAATCTATTAGCTGCCCGTAGTGGTAGAAATGCAGCACTTTATGTCAAGTAGAACGTCTAGTGTCAACGCCCTTTTTCAATGAATGAGCATGCTTATAAAAGACATAATATGATGACTTTTACCTGTCCCGACATCATGCTTCAGTTATAATAGTAACGGTATGATATATTTTATATTTTCTAGATACTACCTACAATCTACCTACGAACGGGTGCAAATAATAAACGACAACCTAAATACAAGTTTGTTTGCCTTTATTAAGCTACATATGACATTAGTTAGCGTTTTCAGATATTCCGTATTCAATCAACTAGGCGAGCATGTCTCGTTTGTCGCGATAGCCGATCTCTAGTCCCTGATTTCCGTCACTGACCAGCTGGTCCGCCATTGGATAGCCCAGAGAGATACAAGCAATATCTCATTGCTGACTGATGAGCTTCTATACAGGCATTGCTACTCTACTTAGTTCTTGCACGCGTACATTATTCAT